GATAACTTTTTTGATCAATTGGATAAGCTAATATCAAAATTTATATGGCAGGGAAAAAAGCCCATAATTAGACTGAAATTGTTAGAGGACACTACTGAAAGAGGAGGATTCGGCCTATCAGACCGGGAAATATATTACAGAGTGGCCATTCTGACTTGGGTTAAAGATTGGATAAGTGTTAAAAATAAAAGATTATTAACATTAGAAGGATATAATCTACAGGCAGGGTGGCATACCTTTTTGTGGCAGAACAAACACCAAATTCATAACTATTTTCAAAGGTATAAAATTTGTCAGATCTTATTAAATGCGTGGAATAAACTAAATGCCAATTCTACATTGAAATACCAACTTGGCTATCTACATTAGAAGCATTAATGTACACACATTTATTGCAACGAGGACAGGTCATTACATATGAGAACATATTAGATGAGAAGGGTGAGTTAAAAACAAGACAGGATTTGAAGGATTTGGGATTTGAGATAGAATGGTGGGCCTATTTACAATTACAGTCGAGGTTTAGTAAAGATATGAAAGAATGGGGTATTAATAGAGAGAAAACAGAATTAGATAAAATATTATTAGGGATGGATGAGAAACTGATTAAAATTTTTTACAAATTATTATTGGAATGTAAATTGGAAGAGAAAAAGGTGAAAGAAATGATGCTGGCCTGGATGAAAGATTTGGATATGGCATAAATTTGGAAGATTTTATGGGACAGGAATAGGAAAATTACTTCGATGGCATCATATAAAGGAAATTTACATAAAATGTTTTAACGATGGCATATCCCACCATCAAAATTAGCAAAAATGTAACCGAAATTATCCACTAAATGCTGGAAATGCAACAAAGAAATTGGAACATACTACCTTGTATGGTGGAAATGTGAAAAAGTCCAAATATATTGGCTGAAAATTAGAAACTGGTTAGAAGAGATGTGTAAAATTAGACCTGAAATTTTTCTATTGGGAATCAATGTTGGAAAATATAATGAGATAATATACCTAATAGTTCATGTCACCACTGCCGCGAGAGTAGCTCTTGCCCAAAGATGGAAAGGAAATGATATGCCAGAAGAGATGGAAATAATTAGAAAAATTTGGTCGTGCGCTGAAATGGATAGAGTAACTCAAGAATTAAAAGATAAGACTGAATCTGATTATTATAAAATTTGGGAGAAGTTTTACCACTGGTTTAAAAAAAGAAAGGAGTAATTGTAACAAAGATGATTAATATTTATGTACATATGTAAATTTGTATTTTTTGTTATTTATGCATGTTCACTGTTTTTAATGTTTTTTCTGTTTGTTCATTAATACAATTTATTAAAAATAATAATTTCACATCATCTGCAAAGAGGACACAGTTGCTTTTAATGTTGTCACATACGTCACTGATGTAAAGCAGAAAGAATGTGAGTCCTAAGACACTGCCTTAGGGGACACCGCTATTAACTGGTGCTGCATTTGATAGGGCCTTCCCTATTTTGACCATTTGTTGTCTGTTTGACAGGAATATGGCTATCCACTTGTGCAGGAGTCCGAAGATGCCGTAGGAACTAAGTTTCAGCAGTAGTTTGTCGTGCATCACTGAATCAAAGGCTTTGCAGAAGTCTATAAATTGTGTCTATTGCTTTACCCTTGTCTAGATGTGTGGTCCAAATGTTTCTACACTGTAGGAATTGCAGATTACAGGGCAAATTTTTCCTGAAACCAAACTGCTTGTTAAAAAGTAGGTTGTTTGTTTCTAAATGTAGGGTGATGGATTGGTTTATAATAGATTCCATGACTTTACAGGTGACGCAACACAGTGAGATTGGCCTGTAATTTTCTAACAGACTAGGGTTTCCCCTTTTAAAAATAGGTATGACCGCAGCTAATAACCGTAAGTCGGGCAGGAAGCTGGTTCTGAAAGATACCTCATAGATTATGCTTAGAGGTTTGGCTAGAGCAATGGAAACTTTTTCAAAAAGTAGGCATATAATCCGTCAGGGCCAATAGATAGGGATGGCTTTAGGTGCTGTTTCAACGTTAACTGCTGCAAAGTCAATATGTAGTAAATTGTTACAATTTGTTGTGGTGTGACTAGGAAATGGGGGGCAGCAGCCATTGCTCTCGACAAAGACTGAACTGAAGAACTTATTAAAGTGGTTGGCCTTTACAGTTTCATTGTTACAGTCTTCCCCGTTAGGCCCTTTTAGGGGTGGGATAGATTTTGAGTCTTTAAGTTTGGCATTAACAAAATTATACAAGGCTTAGGAAGAGTTCAAATTTAACAACTCTTCCTCCAGTTTGCAATGGTGATTGATACATTCCACCTTTATCTGGCAGCCTAAGGCTTTGTAGCAGTTTTTAAAATTAGTTCCGTAGCCAGTTTTGCTGGCTCACCAAAGAGATTTTTTTTCTTGGATGATAGCTTTCTTATTGATATGGGTAATTTGTTTTTATTTTTGGCTTTAGGAGTTATTTTTTGGTACGCATAGAATAGATTAATGACTCTATTGTGCTGTATTGCATTCTCTGACAAAGCAATGATTGGTGGATCGGGGAAATACTGTAGACATAGGCTTCAGTAAGGCATTTGACTAAGTAGCCCACAGACTACTTTTGGTAAGAAGAAAAATGTGGGTTAGATAGCATCACCACCAGATGGATTCGTAACTCGCTGATCAGCTACACTCAGTGTGCAGTCTTTACAGGAACTACATAGAAATGGAGGGAATGCTCAGGGGAGTACCACATGGTTCTATACCAGTGATAGTGAACCTTTTAGTTGTGGTGTGCATGCCAGTACCCACAATGCAACACCCCCCGCCCCTCCCCCTTACCTGCACTGCTCATGCACGCGCCTCCCAGCTGATTTTGGGCCCATTTGAGGTATTTTTCGCCCTCCCAGAGGCTCAAGGGAAGCCTCCGAAGGCTGAAAACGGGCCCATTTCGGCACTTCTGGTATTTCCAGAAGGCCCATTTTTCAGCCTCAAGAGGCTGCAAGGAAATTCAGAGGTAAGAAAAGTAAGATTTTAAAATTAGGTAAGAAAAATCAAATGGACAAGTATGGAATAAGTGACACCAGTAACTGTGAGAGGGATCTAGGAGTTTTAGTGGCAATCACTTAAATATGAGCCAACAGAGTGCTGCAACTACCGTGTTTCTCCAATAATACTCCTCCCCCACAGGAAGGCCCAGCACTTCTTTGTACGCATGCAGTGAAATTAAGTCCTGCCCCCAAAATTTGGGCCTATTTAAGCGCATGCATTCTCCACCATTTCTCACATTGTTTGAACACAAGGTGAAGAGACATGGGGGGAAGGGCAGAGGGGGGGAAAAACTTGCCAAACTCACCCCACGTGCAGCCATGCCTCGCCACGGGGCCGCTTCCATCGGCCATTAGGAGCGCCCTGCGGGCAGCCTAGGCGAGATTGCCCCACACACAGCCTCGGCTAGAGCGCCTTGCAGGTAGCCACACCTTGCCACCGGGCCGCTTCTATTGACCATTAGGAGCGCCGTGCTGGCGAGGTGAGGCTGTGCATGGGGAGATCTTGCCGAGGCTGCACATGGGGCGATCTAGCCGAGGTTGCCCGCAGGGGAAAAATTAAGTCACCCCTTGAAAAGACTGCCTAGCCGCTTTTGGGGGGTGAGGTTGTAAAAAAATAAAGCCCAGCCTTATTTTCTGAGAAACATGGTACCAAAATGCAAATGCAGTCCTAGGCCTGTTAGTATTAAGATCAGGGGAAGCATCCGTACTTCTATACTGCTTTGCTAAGACCACACTTGGAATACTGCAAGATCAAGACTGGAATATTGAGTCCAGTTTTGGCCTCCACAATATAAAAAAGATGCTTAGAGTCCAGAGAAGAAGAACAAAGATGATTAAGGGATGAAGGCTAAATCATACAATGAACTGTTGAGGGAACTAAATATGTCTAGTCTAATGAAGAGAAGGACAAGAGGTGACATGATAGCGGCCTTCCAATATTTGAGGGACTGTCACAGAGAAGAGTGGGTTGACCTATTCTCCAAAGCAATTGAGGGCAGAACAAGAAGTAACAAATGGAAGCTTATCAAGGAGAAATCTAATCTAGAATTAAAGAGAACTTTCCTGTCATTAAAACAATTGATCAATGGAATGGCTTGCTTCCAGAAATCGTGGGTGCTCCATCACTGGAGGTTTTTAAGAAAAGATTAGACAACCATTTGTCCAGAATGATATGGGATCTTCTGCTTGAGCAAGGAGTTGGATTAGAATAAACTCCAAGGCCTCTTCTAACTCTATTATTCTGTATGAGATCTGCTAATTAAATAATCACTACAATTAATCAAAATAATTGTCATTCTTCATCTTTTCTAATTTGCCAGGAATTTTCCTGATTTATTTGAATTTTCAAAATTATTTTAATGTATTTTATCTTCTTATGAAGTTCTACCATTTCCAATATCGTTTAACTTTATTTGGCAATCTCAATGCTTCTCATCCTGGTTTAGGTTTATGGATCAATTCTAATTCCTTTACTTTTCATTGTGGTTTAATTCTGATATTTTTCCTGATTTGCTATAAACTTCATTAAATTCATCTTATCGTAAGCCTTACTTGCCTCCTATATGATTGCTTCTGACATTTTTAGACTCGATTTTTATTTTTTTAAAGAATTTTAATTGCTTTTCCTGTTGCTTTTAATACAAAATTATACACACACTCCTCATAATTTTATATAACATTGGAGATGCGTAATTTCACCAACGATACCACATAAGGAAAACTATCTTGCTAGGTGAGTCGAAGAATTTGTTTCTTACAAGATATGCTGAACCAGGGATTACAGAATTCTTTTCCATGTAAGGTTCTTTAGTTAAGTCACAGAGCTGACATAAATTTGCACTGAAAGAGTATCTCCATAATGAAGAAAATACTAAAATAGTGCCAAGAAATTTGAAGACTAATTCTCTGCAGATGATCTCAGATTAGGAACTCTGATCTTTCCAAAATATACTTACGTATCTCCATTTTCATCCTGACAAGCAGCTAAGTGTCTTTGGACAGCCAACAACATACGTGGGTCAGCAGTAACTGCGTAATCCAAAAGGGCCTGAGCACTGCGTCGAGCTACCATTAGCATCCAGGAACTGCATTCCTGAGCTAGATGAGATGAGGAATGGGAAACTATTAAAACAAGCAATGCAAGCACAAAGATTTTCATCCCAATCACTCAATTCTTTGCTACAATTCCATCTTTTTATGCCTTTTTTTCTTAAAAAAGAGAATATCTAATTTACTGCAGTGCTGATAGTATGTAATGAGAAAAATCTCAGAGTGCCTGTTTTTCAAATTAGGTACCATAATATTGGGTAAATTACTTTGATCTAAGTCCACGTCCAAATGCCTGATCCTAGGATCAGTTGGTTATGGCAACAGCATGGGCTTGCCAGCAGATTTGAGGAGTGACACGTTCCCCACCCCCCAAGATCTCATGATCACACTTTAGGCACTCAACAACTAGCCTTCATTTATGGCCATTTGCAGCATCCTTTAGTCACATGACTGCAGAAACCAGCATTTACTTCCAGTTTCTCACAAAAAGCATTCTTTGTGAATAATGGATTTGCTTAATGACTGCAGCATTCACCAATGCACAACCACGTGCTGACTTGCTTAAATGACTGATACAACTTACAACTGTAATTCTAGACTCAACTGTGGTCATTAAGTCAAGGACTACCTATACGGAAGAGAAAGTTCGAAAGCTAGAAAACTTTGGAAGGTCTGTAAAGGAATGACTAGATCTCTATGTTTTATATTTCTATATACCCATTTATTGTTTGGAAAATAAAAGTTTGAATTCTCGACAGTTCCAATGTAACATGATGATGTACCAGTCTTTGAGAGAAAACCAAATATGTTACCCCAAAAAACTGTAGTGGTTTTCACAGGGGAAAAACAGTTTTTCACAGAGGAAAAACTACCTTCAGAATATAAATCACAGAAGTTTTGAATTAGATAAGAGAAAAAGAAAGCTTCAGAGTTGACTCTCCTCCTCTGGTTTAGGAGCAGATTCTAGTATTTGAACATCCCTTTTTTAAAAACGAATTATCAATAAAGATTAACTGAGTTCACATATATTATGTTAGATTAGACTTTCTTACGGAGCCAACCTTGTAATAAATAGCATTTAACGATTACTATCCCTTCATAGTGCTTTACACCACTAAGTGATTTAGACAGCATACTGCACCCAATAATCTGGGTCCTCATTTCACCAACCTCAGAAGGATGGAAGGCTGAGTCAACCTTAATCCAATGAGGATCGAACTCCTGGCAGTGGCAGAGTTAGCCTGCAATACTGCATTCTGAAGGATAAGGTTCATTCCTTAAGTTTGTGAGTTTGTTTCCGAACCTTTTGTTACCAAGCTAGGTAACATCTTCAGCAGAGTTTAGGGGATGTCGGTGTCAGTGTTCTGTTTATAAGGGCTTAGTGTAGTCAGTAGATCTAATCACTATGCCAGCACAATTCGTGCTAAACTCACACTATTTTGCAACAAGCTCTATTCTCACAATACCGCAATATTTTTAAGGAGTTTATGGAGCCTCCTTGAAAGTGAGCAACCTACTGGTCCTTGAGAATAACACCTGCTTTGCTATGTGACTAACAGTGTTTCCCAACATGGGATCTGGGGGTGGGTGGGGGGAATTTGATTTTTAATGGGGACAATTAAAAAAATGAGCTATTAACTGAATTTTTGAAAGCCTGCTAATTGTTCTTATAGATTTGTGATGGGACAGCTGTGTTTCATTTACCTATTGTTGTCTTTGTTAAATGCATTTCCTAGGGCCTGGTCTGAAAAGGATACCCCAGCTGTGGGGAGGAGGAAGCAACTGCCAGCCAGTCAGATGTGTTCCCACTAAGGATCACAGGATAGCAGAGTCTCTCTCTCTCTCTCTCTCTCTCTCTCTCTTTCCTATGGGCTTTGCTGCTGGGTGGTTGCAGGGAGAGCTGCTCTGTGGGAAGATAGAACCAGGACCCAAGTTTAAGTAAGAAATCGTTAGATTTACATTTATTTTTAGTCTGTGTTTTTTCCCAGGCTGTGTTTTACAAGACTTTTCCTCTCAGAGCAATCTGGGGCTGAGCCACGCATCCGTAGGCCATGCCAGGCCTGTGGGATTCACCTCCACTTGAGGTGAAGCTGACTAAATTGGAGTCTAATATAAAATCTCTCTGCGGCAGGCATCAAGCATCTCACTAACTTAAGTACACTAAAGCTGCAATAATATTTTCCCGGGAGCAAGCCCCATTGAAGACAATGGCACTGCTGAGTAGACATGTATAGGATTGCATTGTAAATATGATGCTTGAGGTGAACTCAAATTGCATTTTGGATTTGTTAGGTACCTTTATTTTAATATGTATAGCAATTAATATGATCAAAGTATTGCAGAAAAACCTTTCATTAAAATTACTTTGTATTTATGCATGTCAGTTCTTTATTATATGCTTTGAAACTTTCTTTGCAGTTTTTTCATATCCCTTCATACTATTATTTTTTAAGTTCCTCGGTACTTCTGCTGTCTTTCCTTCTTTTGTTTTTTTCTCTTTCACGGATGCCATGTTCTTTGGAACGTTGTTTAAACCAAGTTAGTGGCCTTTTAGGCTTCCTCCGTGCGAGAAGTTCACTTTTTGAATAGTAAGAATTGTATGTCAGGGGGGACATTAGGATTTTAGGGATACTTAGGTGGGGCACGGCCAAAAAAGGTTGGGAACCACTGGTCTATAAGAAAGCTTATCCTGTATTGGGCTGGGTGCAAAAAAATCAGAAAGGTGTAAGTTGGGCGTGTCCCTCGGGACTGGCACAGGCGAAGTTCTACAATTCCTTGGGTGGCAAGGTAGCTGGAGGCTCGCAAGCTCCAGCTGGCCTGATCTGCATTTGCTTGCTAGAGGTTGCTAACTCCGGCCAGCCTAATCTATCCTTGCTTGCTAGAGGTTGCAAATTCCAGCCAGCCTGATCTGCCTTGCTCGCTGGAGGGGAAAGAAGCTGAAGGATTTCAGAGACCCGAAGGGCAAAAATTGAAGCACAAGGTGCCCCAGGGGGTGGGAGGCCCAGGGCAGCTGACCTTGTGCTCTGCTTAACAACCCTCATGTTCATTTAGGGATGCAGTAGGGAAAGGAGAGGGTGAGCTCATTAAGGGAGGCGGTTTCACTTTACAGCTTCTCAACATGCAACCATAATGGGCAGACTCTATTACAATCATATCTCAAGGACCATTTGTATACATATACTATAAATCTCAGTTGAGTTAATGAAACCCTCATAAATAACCGAGCTCACCTATGTAAAGCCAAAACCATCTGATAACTTAAAATTACATATAACCCAAAACAAAAAGAAAAGGACAGTCTTGCGAAAGTGAGCAACACCTTCAATAGCACTTTCTAATAACAGCACTTATTTCTCATCACAAGTATCAATTGTTTAGCACAGACAAATGTATTTATGCTGAAGTTTGATATGTGAACTATATATATATATATATTTCAGTAACTCAGAATACAAAGTTAGATTTTACAACTTTGGGCTACTTTTGAGATTCTGAAGATGTTTATTTATATATCGTGATGAAACTCAAAAATTCATAACTATTAAAAGAATAAACATGCAATTATAAATTACAATAAATCGGTAGAGTTTATGACTGTAGAGTAGAGAAAGAGTCCGGACCATTTAAGCAAATTAAGCCGACAGCCTAGGCTTGAGGCATGAGTGCCGTGCAACAGGGTGAGCTCCCGTTACTTGCCCCAACTCCTGCCAACCTACAATTCGAAAGCATGCTAATGTGAATAGATAAATGGTTACCACTTTGGTGGGAAGGTATTGAATGGTTACCACTTTGGTGGGAAGGTATATTCCATGCTCATCAACATATAGTCACACTGGTCACATGGTCACAGCAGTGTGTACAGACAACACTAGCTCTCTCAACTAAGAAATGGAGATGAGACTACCCCCTAGAGTCGCAAACGATTGGGCCTTTAGTAATCTCAACAATGAAAGCTAAATTGAGGATGCTTCCCAACCACAGAAAAAATAGTTTTTACTTATCTCCCCAGACATACCATGCTGCAGCAGTTCAATATAATCACTGCCATCTTCTGAAGGATGATGTTCACTATCTTCCAGTCTAGCAGTTCTGGGCATTTGGATACCTCTTCCACCCTGATAGTTGCCCATAGGATGTGATCCAGATATGTAGATGCTGTTGTTATATGGATTATATCCTGAAGAATGCCAGGGACTACCAGCTAGAAGAGCAGAACAAAAAAAAAAGGCCATGCAATTTAGACTATGCATGCCTAAAAAGAGTCATTTTAACTGTTCATAATATTGGTTGTTGCTGCAAGTACTACCTAAAAAGTCAACTCTTTTTTTGCAAGCTTTGAATGCCACAATATATGACAATTCATAAGGGAACTATAATCACCACTCAACTATTCAGCTATTATTGTATCATGAAGACCAAAACTGGACTTGGTATAAAGCAGAGAACACTTCCATCTGATCTTGATTCTATCTCTCTGTTAATGCCGCCTAGGATTGTATTGGCTTTTTTGACAGCTGCAGTACACGGCAGGTTCATATTTAAGTTTCCAACCTCACCATGAGTTTAGAACACACCAGAAAAGCAGAATCGAATGAGAACACTTTTGTAAAAGTTCAAGATTAAAGAGTGTTTCAAGTGCAAAATGATTTGAATATCATGTGTGTTTTGCACATCTACAATAAAAAGCCTTTGATTTCAAGTTAAATTGCAACAGACTATTAAAAAATTAAAACCCAGAAAGTCCTATCAAATATTAATATTTACCTCCATTAGAACCAAATCCACCAGCTCCACCGCCAGCACCTCCCATAGGCGCACCGCCACCGAAGTGCTGGGGGAACTGGGGTAAGATCTTCTTACGCTTCCTTTCTACTTCTTCCTTATCTGCAGCCAAAGATATAAAAGAATAATCAATTATGTGCCCTGCCACCCTGTTAGACACCAAAAGTAGCACATCACATGGAGTGCCCTGTACCTTCTACCACTGGGTAGTATGTAAACTGCTTGGAGTCACTCACATCACCCCCTCGCTTGCGCTTCAACTGAAGAAACACAGTGACTGGACGATCTATTTTTGACTTGTGATAAGGCGGAGTACGGAAAACAATGGCATACTGTAAGGACACAAGACATGGGTTTAGTGCAATCACATATGTCACGTACCCTTGAAGCACATAAACTCTCAAACTGTTCACCTGCTGGTTTCTTCTTTGATTTCTTGTTTTTCTTTTTCAGTGGTATTATGTTGGACTGGGCTTTTATGATCATGTTTTTTCAGTGTTTCCCATGGTTCTGGAGCTGTTTTCCCCTTTAGGATTATCCATGAAATTTTGCTTAGTCTCTCTCTTGGTTTGTTAAAATCAGCTCTTTTAAAGTTTAAGACACTGGTTGGATTACATTCTATTATTTGTATTTGCATTATACTGAATTCCAGTATGATATGGACACTCTTGCCTAAGGTTCCATCAACCAACTCCCTCTATCACTTCTCTCTATTAGTAAGAAAATGGTCCAGTATAATTTTTCCCCTATTCCCTCCTTTACCTTTTGGATGACAAAGTTGTCGGTTAGGAAACTGTTTGATTTCTCACTTGCTGCAAAGTTTGTCTCCCAATTGATTACCCAAAGGGTAATCGCCTGGAGGGTTGAGGGGAGCCGCAACTCCCCTCCCTGACAGGAAAAAAATCCTCCCAAAGGCAAGCTGCAGTGGTGGTCCTAAAATGGCCACCATGAAGACGAAAAACAGTCCCAGAAACAAAGACTGTGCTGGAGCTCTCCGCTCAGCAAGCGGAGTGTGAACCAGGAAAAATACATGGATTTTGAGGTACCCAGGTATTAAAAAATAAAGGACTATTTTGGAGGAAAGTGTGTGGAAGCAGTGACCAGAGAAAGTGAGAAGGAAATTGGATTTTATAAAATTGGCTTGAATTATTGTATTGGATTAACTTGGAGGAGAAAATTTAAGGGAAAATATTTGAACACAACAAAGGTTTAGAAATTAAACTGGACAACTATTGGACTATTGGCACTTAAAGGGCATATCTAAATCCTGAAATTGAGTGTGTTGAAAAGAAAAGAAATAATTGCTAATGATTGAAATTAGCTAACTTAATGAAAGTAACTATATTTAACAAAGAAAGTTAAAGTTAAAGGAGGAGTGGATTGTGGAAAAGACTCAAGAGTGCCACCTGATGGTAGAGGAAAAAATTTCAGTGACTCTTTAATAAGTGCTTGGTCTTTCTAGTAAATTGGACATTGGAACTTAAAAGAAAGTAAAAGAAACTCCATTATAGTAAAATAAAAATCCTGGAAAGGTACATCAGAATATTACAAAGAGAAAGATATTTGAAAATATTGTCATAGAACCACCAGGTGACTGTGGGAAACAATTGGGAAAGGGCCAATTAGAAGACCTGGAACAAAGGCTTAAGAACATTGATTGTTGGAAATAAACTTAAAAGAGACTGATGGAAATAATATACTGGATTGAACACATCTATTAAGGAAGAGGAATACATCTATTAAAGAAGAGGAAAGAAAAGGAAAAAAGGAGAAGATATAATGGAGGACTTATTTGTTAAATTAAGATTGGATTTGCAAGATATAAGGAAAATGATGAAAATTAAACTTGAAATGTGCAATTACGTATTACAGAAATTAGAAATGGCGACTCAGCTTGTAGAACAACAAAGTAAACCAGAGGGGGAGGAGTTTAACAAAGAAGAAGCCAGCTTTGAAGAACAAAGGGAGCAACAATTATTTAAGCAGGGGAGAAAGGAGTTAAAATTAAAAATTTGCAGTCTGATGTGATGACAAAAGGGAGAATGGTTCAGAAAATGAAAAAAAGGGGAGGGAAAAAGCAGAAAAGGGAAGTACAAAAGAATAATTGAAAGAGGGAGGGAGATAAACTTAATAATTGGAATGAGAAATGGAGGGGAATCAGAATGGGGAAAAAGGGAATTAAGAGAAAGGACCAGAAAATAAAGAGAAATAGGAAGCAAACAAGGATGAAAAGAAATTACATTGTTAAAACAGCGAGAGATAATCGGTGAAAAAAAAGGACAGGGAAGGAGATTCCACAAGGTAATATGTTGTGATATATAAGAATAAGTATTGAAAATAGATAAGTATGTAACTGATATGGGGTTTTTTTGTTTTCTTTTCTCTTTCTCTTTTTCTATCGAAGGATGATCGCTACATTAGACATGGAACCTGATGAAATATGGAATTGGGAATTTATAATAGGAACATTATATATTAATTGATGATTAGAAAGGGAAAAAAGGGGGGAAATGAAATGAGAACCATTATGGAAAGATTAATCAGTTGCTATAATTAATTGATTCGATTAATATTTTTGTAATGTATAGATGTCTTATAAGGTGATTGAGAAAATGTAATGTAATGCAGAATCAGACAAAAATATATATATTTGTATTACATAATAAATAGGGAGAGTGGTATTAAGGTAGAATGAAGGTGGCTAACTCGAATTATTAACGAGAGGACAATTTTGAATTAATAAAATAAGGATTGATAAAATTGCAAATGTGACAGAAAAAGGTAATATGGGAAATGAACATAGAAATAAGATGAGAATCTTAGATAATATTGTAAAATAAGATATGAGAATATCCTAAGAAAAATGAAATGTTATAATATGAATTGGAATTGGATAAGATAAATTTAATATTTAATACTAATAAGGATAATGTGATATGAAATTGAATAAATAAAATGAATAGGTAACTATGGTCATGTTTGTAGTGAGATGTGAAACTTGGAACCATACTGCATGCCAAATGATCATTTTTTATTTAAAAAAAAAACAAATTGGAGAGGGAATTAAATAATGAAATTACTAGGTATGTTTAACTGATATGGTGGTTGGCATTAGGAGAGAGTAATGAAATCTTGAAAATAAGCAATGATGCCACACTGTTAATGTATTGTTGTGCATGTGCAGATTTAAATAAAAAACCTTGATTACAAAAAAAAGTTCACCCTGTTTATGTTCTAAAGTTTGAGCTTCGTGGGTCTTGGGTATGTTTCTTATATCTCCTACTTTGTAACAGAAATTTCCATCATTTCCATCACTCTCTACTTCATTGTTTTTTTAATTTATTTCTTCTCTTTATTCCGTTCCTCCTTATGTAATTGGTTTTCTAGTGGCTTTCCCTTGGAATTAGGTTGTAAAGGTCGTGAAGATTGGTCCCCTCCTTCCTCAATTTAGTTTAAAGCTCTTTTGATAAGATGAGCCAGTCATTTTTCAAATATATCCTTTTCAGTTCTTGTGAGGTTCATGTAGGTCAGAGGTGTCAAACTCAAGGCCTGTAGGCCGGATCCAGCCCTCAGGATGCTTACATCTGGCCCGCGGGGTCACCCTGGAAACAGCAAAGGATCAGCCCATAATGCCTCTGCACACACAAACCAAGCTCTGTTTTGTCCGGCAGAGAGCTACAGGAGGCTGTTGTGGGCAAAAATGAATGTGGGGCAGCTGCGCGCGGCTCCCAGGATTCCGTTTTCGCTGGCAAAGACTAACAAAACAAACTAAAAACAAAACAAAAGGAAAAATGTTTCCCCTTTTGCATTTGAGCATGCAAGAAGGGACAGGAAGAAAGGAGAAAGGGAAAGAGGAAAGACAAAGAAAAAGAAAGGAAGGTGGGAAGAGAGCAAGGATGGAAAAATAAGGAAAGAGGGGAAGGAAGAAGAAAGGAGAATGAAGGGGAAGGGGAAGGGAAGGGAAGGAAGGAAGGAAGACTATAATGAGTGGGAAAGAGGGTGTCGGGGAAGTCCTGCCTTAGCATGGGTCTTGTTTCATGCCCACCATGGCCACTCTTACCATGCCATATACCCACCTACCCCTGGTCCTCCAAGATCAAACACAACCCTGATGCGGCCCTCAGTGAAATTGAGTTTGACGCCCCTGATGTAGGCAATGCCGACTATGGTCTAGAAAGCTGAAGTTCTGTTGATGACACCAGTGTTTAAGCCAGTGGTTAGTTTCTAAACTCCTTTGCTCCCCCATTGGATGTTGGCCTTTATATTTATAAGGATTAGAATGAGATAAAATAAAATATCTTTGATCTACTGCAATACAAAAACGTTACTCTACAGAATCACACTACAAATTTTTTATACATCTTTAGTCTATCACACAAACTGGTTCTCATGATTGAAGTAATCAATACCTGTTTATGCACATCTGTGGGGGAGAAATCCCCAAAGGCCTGCCAACCATTCTCATCATCTTCATAAAAACGCACCTCAATATCATCTAACAGAAAAGGTAAAAAATGATAACATTTGACTATGAATACTTAGTCCAATCCCACTTTGTCCCATTATTATTATTATATTACCATATCGATAAATTTATGATATATTGTCAATCATAAAAATGTAAAAGATATTGGGTGAGATACTATCAGGTAGTTGATGACTTCTTATAGTGTTTCTCCATATCAGGGGTCGCCAACCTTTTGGACCTCAGGGACCACCAAACTCATAATTTTAAATCCCGCGGACCACTAATATGAATTTTGAGTGAGGGTGGCTTGCTGACATTGGTAGGGGACAGAGAGAGAGAGATCCAATCTAACCTTGGAGGGCTGGCGGTGATGCGCTCTCTCTCTCTCTCTCTCTCTCTCACACACACACAATACACAGAGGTCCCTCACACACCCACACACCCTCCAAGGCAGACACATTCCTAACCTCCATTCTCAGAAGCAGAGAGACAGAGAAAGAGAGAGAGAGAGAGAGGTGGTATCCTGCAATCCCAAATAAAGAATGATTGATCAGTAGGAAAATGGGGTGTGGGATTTTCCTGTAGACTTTTTGGGGGATTTTCCCAGGGTCTCTTTCTGCAGAGACGCTGGGAAAATCCCCCCAAAAAGGCTGCAGGAAAATTTTCCTACTGATCAATCATTCTTTATTTGGGATCGCAGAATACCATTTCCAGCTCCGTTCTCAGGAGTGGGGAGAGAGAGAGAGAGACTTTTGGCTTCATGCAAGGAAAGCAGCAGTAGCAGCAGAATCTTTCTCTCCCCCAAACTCCGCTAGAATGGCACAGGTCTTGGAGCAGGATGCCTTGCAGGGTCCCAAAGACTCATTTCTGGCAGAGTTTGGAGGAGAGAAAGAAAGACTTTTGCTGCTTTCCTTGCATGCAGCCAAAAGTGGAAGAAAGAAACAGAAAGAAGCAGCCCCGTGGTCAGGCCAGGCGCGTGGGCAAGTCCCTCCGCATCCTTTCCCCCTCTCCTCACTACCTCGTCTTGTTCGCAATGCAAGCGACGCAAGCCTTGTGTTCCCGCAGGCCATGTGGGTGTCGCAGCCTTGTGCTCCCACGCAGCCTGGATTAATTGCTTTGGGGATGCTTTGGGGGTGACATTGATCTGTGGACCACCAAAATTTTCTTGTGGACTGCCAGTGGTCCCCGGCCCACCGTTTGGCAAATACTGCTCCATATCATGCAAGTTAAGAGAAATGTAGACTAGATGGCAGCAAAAGGTGACCCAAATATTATCAAATTTTGATAAGTCAAAAGTCATTATCAGTCATGTCATTATCTTCTACAGTAATTTAAGGATATTGATGACAATCTAGATGAGATTGTACCTCCCCCAATGGAACAAATGTGCAATTTGAAGAACTTCTTTTTTAAACTGATACAATTATCTTACATTTCAAGAATTGTTTTATCCCCTGCACCAGTTCATTTGGTAACAATGACTGTTGCTAGCAAGGAACTATTTGTCAAAATACAGTGGTACCTCAATACTTGACAGCTTAAAAACTCATTGAATTTCATACTTGACACATTTTGAAGCAAAAATATTGTCCCTGTACCCATTGTATTTGTGGTAATCAACGTGATGTGATAGGAAATAAAAAACAGTCACAGAGAGTGGACAGGCCATGGAGGGAAGGTCATTGACACAGTAAAAGGAACAGACAGGAAATCCTTCCCAGCTGAAATAAAGGGTCACGTGTTAAGTCATGTGGTCTTTTCATATTCATCATTTTTAGTCCTCATCATGCCTCCTGGAACAAATTAATGATGAATACCAAGATACCTCTGGACTGGTAATGTCCAGACTGGGTTATCACAATGTATTTTAAATGTGGTAGTTTTTGAGATTGTCCAGAAATGGAGTCCTTTGGTAAAATTGCCTTATGTACTTGCTTTTACTGAATCTGTACTACCATACCTCTTGCTGGCCTTGTTACACAGGTTTAATGTTTTATTATATTATAGTTTTTTTCATTGTTTTATATATTTAGTAGAGTTATTTTATTATATCATAGTTGTAGACTTCAATCTGCTTTTATCATTTATTTTATATTATATAATAAATTTGGGATTATGTTTATTAATAAAAAGTAGACAATTGGTTCATGCTAGTTACTATTCCAGATCAAGATAAACTGCTATGAAAGAAGTAAAATCATGCAGTCTTCAAATCTGGAAGGAGGGAATCCCAAATTCTACTAAAAATATTTTATTGAAGTCTAGTACATTTTGGAAATGGATTTCATTCCCAAGGACAAAGGAAATCAAATGCATGTTTCTAAAAATAAAACTTTTGTATCCATTTCAGGAGTGAAAGAACAATGCCAAAAATAAGCCAGATTAGACATGGTACTTACCTTTCTGGACTTTATCACACAGCAAATATACTTCATCTCCACCTCGCACTGAGCCTGCAGTCTTATCCATCCGAGATATTTTTAAGTTGGAAGCTCCAGGAGACTCTGTTGAATAAAAAAAAATGGAGATGTATAAAATTGTTCCTGGAATGATTGTACAACTATGAAAATGTACTAGATAAAGGAGTCGTCATAAGGCTTGCAATTTTGGCTAATTTTAATGAACAGTGAAAAATATAGAACATGAGCGGAAAGGTTGATCTTTCAATTTGTAGTAGGTTCTGAGACATTCTGAAGGAAGCAATAAAATTCTACCAATTCAAAAAAAATTAAATAAAATATTTTAAAATATGAAACTCTTATGTTAGAACTCTGATACAGGGGTGGGATCCAACAGGGTTAACTATCGGTTCGAGATTCGGTGATTTATGATGTGCTTCCCTGCACGCTGGGAGCGCACACATGTAAATCGTCATCAGTGCACACCTGTAAATCGTCATCAGCACGCTGCATGCAGAGAAGCAGCCTTTCAAACAGCCCTCTTTTCCTGCTTTTTTAACTGCAGCTGTGCCTCGTTCGGCAGCTGAAGTTGAAAAATCAGGAAATAAAGATCAGGTAAGAGCCCGGGTGGGTAGGTGGGCAAAAACATCAGCATAGAACCGGTTCTACAGAGGTGGACAGAACCGGTAGAAACCCACCCCTGCTCTGATATGAAGATCAGCGTAGAGGAACTTTTCATTTAAGGTCTGAAAGAAAAAGATTTATGGTCACAAGCCATCATTTGTGGCATTATTTATTTTCCAGCATACAAATATTCCTCAAAAGAGATGGAACAAATCCAAGAACCTTTTATCTCTGGGATATGCTAATTTCAGACATGGACTTCTCAGACTGCATTTCAACAATGTGGCTAACTCAGACAAACAGATGCAAGATGACTCACCTTGCAAAAATAATTCGTTTAGAAAGAAGAAAAAGGGAAGTCACAGAGTTTTAATTTCCTTCTAGCAAAGAAATTATGCAATACCTGACTGGAGCGGGGGGAAGAGGAACTACAAGGCATCCTCTTTTTTCCTGATGAAGATGTCCTATTGCTTCTCATTTTACTTTGCAACTGTGTCACTTAGTGATGAAATTCCCAGACTCAATTATTATAGTTAACCGAAGACTACCTGTACTACCACTTGAAAGCTCTAGGATTCATATCAGTGATATCACTGGACAAGACTGAAAATTCTGCCTCTATTTTGTAGGAATCCGAGGATTATAAAAGGAAGGGCGAGGGCTTCTGGAAGTTATATGCATTTTATATCTTAAATATCTTAAAGAGAGCCATGATGGTGCAGCGGTTATAATGCAGTATTGCAAGCTAATTCTACTGGTTGCCAGCAGTTCAATTCTGACCAGCTCAAGGTTGACTCAATCTTTCAAGGTTGATACAATGAGGACCCAGCTTGTTGGGGGCAATATGCTGATTCTGCAATTCACTTAGAGAGGGCTATAAAGCACTGTGAAGCAGGATATAAGTCTAAGTGCTTATATGACACTGAACTGTTTTGCTGGCAAATTTTGGAAATATGAAATGGGAACCTCCAGAGATCACAAAATGGGACTGCATTCAATCCATGAGCTCCTCATTCCAGTGGAGAAAATACATAGCATCTACAATGTTCACTGGACCAAAAATCGATCAGAGCCATACAAAATGGCTAGCAAACTCCTCTCAAAAACAGTTGCTAATATAAGGCTTTTCACCTTCATGGCAAACAGAAAAACCATCACATATAGCAACAGACAACAAGTGGTCAGAATTGGGAGTGTCTTATCAAATTCTGTACCTGTCAACAGTGGTGTCCCCCAAGGCAGTGTTTTAGGACCAACTTTTTTCATACTCTACATAAATGACCTCTGTGATCATATTAAGAGCAACTGTGTTCTCTTCGCTGTTGATGTAAAGCTATTCAACACCACCACCATTACTGCTACCCTTCAAAAAGACCTCGACTATGTATCAGAATGGTCAAAACAAATGGCAACTTCAAATCTCAACAAATAAATGCTCTATCTTACATACTGGCAAAAAAAAACAGAAAACAAAATACAAGCTGAATAGTCAAGACCTTGCTGATGATCCAAACTCTGTCAAGGACCTTGCAGTACTCATCTCTAATGATCTAAGCGTTAGAGCCCACTGTAACTACATAGCCAAAAAGGCATTAAGAGTTGTTAACCTAATCCTACGTGGCTTTTTCTCTGGTAATATCACACTACTAACTACAGCATACAAAACGTTGAATACAATTAATATAAATGGACTTAATTCAGCCGTTAAAAGAAGGAAAACTTTCCATAAATTAGAGAAATTAAAATTTGATATAATCTGCCTACAAGAAGTACATATTAAAAAGCAATATGAACAATTGTTGATATAGCCAAAACTAGGGAAAATATTTACTTCCTTGACACAATGCAAGAAAAGGAGTGGTTTTATATAGAGACCATTCCAGCGAAATTGATTTATACTGATGATGGAAGAATACTAATTGTGGAAATAATGGATAATAATACGAAAACACTCCTGATGCCCTGAATGACAAACAAGAAGAATTTTATAAAAAATTACATATGAAAATAATTGAACTGGACTATGCGAATATAGTTATGATGGGAGATTTTAATGGAATTGTAGACAACAAACTGGACTATACAGCACAGAAAACAATAAAGCAAAACAGAAAGACTCTCCCTAAATCTTTTTTTAAAATGGTAGATGAAATAAACTTAAAAGATACATGGAGAAAAAGAAATGCTAAAACTAAACAATACACCTTCTACTCAAATAGACACTTCTCATGGTCCAGAATAGATATGATATGGATGTCAACAGAATTGTTAACTAATATTCAAGAAATAAATATTGAAACAAGTACTTGGGCAGATCACAATCCAATGACAATTAAATGGAAAGGACAAAGAAGAAGATCTAGATGGACGTTAAATAATACTATTTTAAAGGGAAAAGACTTCACACAGTGGATGGAGAAAGAATTGGCTTTTTTCTTTAGAGAAAACAAAAAAGAAGATACATCAATCCAGAATGTATGGGATTCAATGAAGGCATATACCAGAGGCTTGATAATAGACTATACAAGGAAAAGAAATACCATGAAAAGATTAGCCTCTGAGGCATTAGAGGATGAGGATAAAGGACTTGAAAAAGAGCTACAGAAAATGCCACAGAAAAAGGACATTAAGTTAAAAATGGATATAACCAAACATAAAATGGGTCTAATAGAAAAAGAAGAATTAGCACAGAAAATTAGAGGTGCTAAACAGAACTACTTTGAAGATGCAAATAAACCAGGTAGATGGTTAGTATATAAATTGAGAAAGGAGAAAGAATCAAGGAAAATATTGCAATTAATAGATGATCAAGGCCAAGTTTGCTATGGTAGTAAAGAGAAGAAGGAAATCATTTGAGACTATTATGGGAAACTATACACACAAGAGAATATTGATGAGGAGTCAAACAGTACCTACAGAATGCTAATCTACCCCAGATACCTAAAGAGATTGAAACAATGTTAGAAAGCAATATATCGATGATGGAGTTAACTGAAGCACTCAGGAAGCAAAATAATGGAAAGGCACCAGGCCCAGATGGACTTCCGGAAGAATTTTACAAAACATTACAAGAATCGTTGAATCTTCCACTGCTAGAAGTTATGAATGAAGTTATGTTAAAGAAAAGGATACCTAAATCATGGTCAGAAGCTTATATTACACTTGTTCCAAAAGAGGAGGTTGATCCATTACAAATTAAGAACTATAGAACTATTTCCTTACTAAACGCAGATTATAAAATTTTTGCTTAAATATTGGCAGAATGACTTAAAAAATACTTAAATAATTTTATCCATCCTGATCAAAATGGATTTTTGCCAAAGAGACAAAATAAAGACAATATTAGAGTAATCTTGGACACTTTGGAATATTACGAGGCACATCCTGAAAAACGAATGGCTTTGATATTTCTAGATGCACACTGTATGTACATATATGGAAGATGGCCTGATGTTTTTATGTTTTATGTTTGTTTTAAAAACCAATAATTTTTTTAAAAAAAGAGTTGTTAACCTAATCCTACGTAGCTTTTTCTCTGGTAATATCACACTATTAACTAGAGCATACAAAACATTTGCTAGACCAATACTTGAATACAGCTCATCTGTCTGGAACCCGGTATCTGATATTAATACAGTTGAGAAAGTCAAGAAATATTTCACAAGAAGAGTTCTCCACTCCTCTAATTGTTGCAGAATACCTTATGCCACCAGACTTGAAATTCTAGACCTAGAAAACCTAGAACTACACCACCTTCGGTCCGATCTAAGTATAATATATAAAATTATATATTGCAATGTTCTACCTGTCAATAAATGCTTCAGTTTCAACCATAACAATACAAGAGCAAACAATAGATACAAACTCAAGGTTAATCGCACCAAACTTGATTGCAGGAAATACGACTTCAGCAACAGAGTGGTCAATGTCTGGAATACTCTACCTGACTCTGTGGTTTCTTCCCCAAACCCCAAAAACTTTAACCTTACACTGTCTACTATTGACTTTACCCCTTTCCTAAGAGGTCTGTAGGGTGCATGCATAAGCGTACCAACGTGCCTACCATCCCTGTCCTATTGTTTATTTTTATTTTTCTTATATGTATCCATTTCATGTATTCATAACTATGTTATACTTATACCTGTTACCTTATAATCGCCTGACAAAATAAAAAAAAAATATCTAGTTTTTTGTCTATATTTAACAGCCTTATAAGCAGGATTGTAAAAATATGAAAGTACTCACAAATGTATATGCACAATCCTGCCAAATCCAAACCAGATATACATCATAGTAAATACCCTTAAACCATGTCAAACATGCCTATGGATCAAAAATTAAACTTACTGCTATCATGAATCGGGTCAGAAATAACAGGGTTCAATGCTAAAGTGAAGTTTCCACTACTATCACGAAGATAGGCATTGAAACGTAAACGAACAATGCTGAGATCCATTGTCTTCTTCAACTCTTTCGCCTCTTGTTCAATCAATTCTTGTTCAGATTCTGCAAAAATAAGATGCTAAGTTATAAATACTACAAACAATCCAGAATTCACATCGAAGCAAAATTTCCTCTGAATACTAAAATCACACATCAAATATTTTTCTGAATACTGGCAATCCTCAAGATACGACAGGCCATTTAACAAATGCTTGAAGTTACAATGCACACCCCAGAAGCTAGATAGAACTGTTTCAAAATTACAAATTTTTCAGCGCCCCCGCAGTCATTCGCCTTTATGGCCAACCGCAAAGATGCTGCAGCACACCCCACCCATTTCCCTTCCATCAGACCCGGCTAAATCTTCAGAGGCATTAGGCCTGCTTTGCCCACACGCTTGGTTTCACGTACATCTTCCCACCCCCATTCTATCACTATTCGCTTACTTACCTTTTGACGAGTTCAAGAACTCAGGGTAGGGAAGGCCGCTCCTTTGCTGGGCCGCATGATACAATAATGAATAAGAAATTGGGTCATTTTTGCTTCCACTGCAATTCTTTCCTCTCCAGTCAGCATAAACCACTATGATTTCTTCCTAGTTCTACCAATGGCTAGCTTTACCCTAGTGGCGTTAAGAAAATCACACCTATTTTGGTTGCTTGCAAGTCTTTCCTCCACAACCAGCGTAAATTGGCAGTGATTTGTGGGGAGGAAAGAACTGCAATGGAAGCCAAAGAGATGGGATTTTTTTTTCCTCTTTGTTCTACCAGCGTGAGGCTAGCGTAAAGCTAGCGCTGGTGGAGCTAAGAAGAAATTGTGCTTATTTTGGTTCCCTGAAAGCCTTTCCTCTCCAACCAGAATAAATCACTAATTTTTCTTCTTAGTGCCCCCAGCATAAGACTAATGTAAAGCTAGAACTGGCGGTGCTAAGAAATTGCATTGATTAATGCTGGCTGGAGAGGAAAGGCTTACAAGCGCCGCTTTATACTAGTCTTATGCTTGTAGAGCAAAGAAGAAATCGCATCTCTTTTGCTTCCATGACAATCCTTTCCTCCCCAGCCAGGGTAGATCAGTACCGATTTATGCTCGTTCGGGAGGAAAAGCTTGCAAAGAACCAAAATAGGCAGGCACAATTTCTTCTTAGTGTCACTGGTGTAAAATTAGTGCTGGCAGAGCTAAGAAGAAATCATAGTAGTTTACGCTGGCTGGAGAGAAAAGAATTGCAACAGAAGCAAAAAGTTACCAGATTTCTTCTTTTGTTTTTAAATTAAATTCTATTGTGTATAAACCTTAAAAAAACATTGAACGTGGTAGTCTTCAATACATTTTGCATTTAGAAAGAAGTCATGTACAATTATATACATTTATGTACATATATACGTTTAAACGTTGTAGTTTTAAAATCTTTCTCGTTATTCCTCAAATATAAGGTCCCTCACCTCTTCCATATTTCACCTTAAATTCTTATTTCAATTTTATGAACTCCCTTTCATGTCCCTCCAGTAGTAAAATTTATTCTATATTTTACGCTATTCTGATTCATCAACCTATCCATTTAAGCACATTGTAATATCAATCATAACATCCTCACTAGGGATTTCACTTGCTTTCCAATTTTGGGCGAATATCATTCTTGCTGCCGTGACCACATGTATAATTAGATAGGTATCGGCTTTGCTAAATTTCTCTTCCATTATTCCCACTAAGAACATCTCTGGTTAGTAACGAATTTTGAGCCACATCATTCCCTCTAGCCATGACCAATTTTTGTACCAGAACTCCTGAGCTTTGTTACAGGACCATCATACATGATAGTAAGTGCCCCGTTCTTTCAAGCACTTCCAACAATTGAGTGATTGGTTTCCATACATTTCGGCTAGCCTAGCTAGCCATGCATAGAACATCTTGTACAAGATTTCCTTGTATGATGTAGCTAGTGTGATCTTTTTTGTTTTGCTCCCAAATTTGCTGCCATTGGTCCAAATTTATATTACGTCCAAAGTCCCAAGCCCAGGTCACCATCCTTTCCTTAACTTGTTCTTCATATGTTTTGAAATCAAGTAAGTATCTATAAATGTTCTTTGTTTAACCTCTGGTCCTGTTAAAATTTTATCTAGTGCTATGTCTTGTAGATGGATTCCCCATTCTTTTTTGTCTTTTTCGTACCTTAACTATATTTGGAGGTAGGCCCACCATTCCAGAGCTATTCCTTGTTGTTTTAATTCCAGTTTGTTTTAGTTAGCCCTCCTCATTTAAGATATCTTTATATGTAATGGCCTCTGTCTGATTGTATAAATCTGGGTATACTACTGCTTCTAACAATGATAGCCAGCCTGGTATTTCCATATAGTTTTGGTGTCAGGGCTCCGACAGTTACCCCCATTTAAATCATGAATCTGTAGCCAACTTCCAGAACTTAAAGATGATTTATTAGGAGTAAAGATACTGGCGCTGCCTGGGTGTAGCTGACTCTGAGACACATCATTCATTGTCACTCTTGACCCTGGTTTTCCCCCACCCCCTGGGTGTATCATAATTCATATTCTCCAATTGAACACATCCATAGCCAAGAGTCATCAATCATACTCTTGAGTTAGAATTTTGCACAGCAGAAACTTCAGTCACCTAGAAACTATCTTTGAAAACATTTATGGAATGTAAGCTGCCCACTGCTCCACCCCCACTCCCTTTCTGCTGGCAACTCTAAAAAGATCATAGGAATATTTTATGAGTTGGCATTTAGAATTTTATTTTATTCCAAATCAAAATTAAGGCTTATTGAATTTTATGCCTTAAAAGTATTGATGAGCCATATTTCCGCCAGACCACAGATATGCATGCCAACCCTTTTATAGGTCATGTCCTTCTAAATGTAAAAGTCTTTAATTTTTGAGGTTGATCCAGTCCTTGATCCAGGTTAGAGATGCCGCATGACAATATAATTCCCATTCTGGAAGATTTCTTCTTCTTGATTGTGCCGCATGGCCCAGCAATGGAGCAGCCTTCTTTACACTGACTTCCTGAGCTCGGCAAAATGTAAGTAAGGGAATAGTGATGGGTTGGGATAATACGGAGAAAGTCCTGTGGACTTTGGGGAAACCAAAGGGCAGGAGGCAGAACATGAGATATCTTACAGGGTAGGGAAGGCCTCCTGGAAGTGCCCGTGCCTGCATTAGGCTTCCCTCGGTTTTTCCCATTCCAGAGTCACCCTATGCTCTATGTTGAATGAATGCATTGGGGAAAGTCGGCACAGGGAGGTCATTAGTTGCTTCATTTAACATAGTCCTCGACTTCCGACATGAATGGGCAGGCTCCATTACTGTCGTAAATTGAGGACTACCTGTTTTTTTTAAAAATTAACCTTAATATTTACAGTTTCCACTTTCCCTATTTGTTTTTCAACAATTAGCAAATTCTAATATTCATACGTCTTCCCTATATAATATAGAACTGATAGTGAACTGAAATAATAGGTTTATACCAGAGGTCTCCAAACTTGGAAACTTTAAGACACAAGTTGTCAAGTTTGGGGACCCCTGGTTTATACTATTCCTACTAATAACAGAGGTAGCTTATGTTAATTCTGATTGAAATAAATTAATAACAGAGTTGGAAGGAACCATACAGATGTTTTAGTCCAACTGTTCAAGCAGCAGATCCTATACTATTCCAGACAAGTGGCAGTCCAGTCTCTTCTTAAAGGCCTCCAGTGATGGAGCACCCACACTTGTGAAGGCAAGCCATTTCCTTGGTTAATTGTTCCCTGCCCAGACAGTCCTAAATTTCCTTTTTTTCCCCCTCCTGACAATCAGCTGGGCCGGGATTCCCCTTGCTGTCTTACTGCTTTGTCCAGGAGGCTTCCCTGAGGCCCAGGAAGGCAAAAAATGTGAGCGTGGGCGTGGGCGTGCTACTCCAGGCTCAGTTTTTTTTTTCTTCCTGAGCCTCAGGGAAACCTTCTGGGAGCAAAAACAGAGGCTTCCCCGAGGCCCAGAAGGCCCAAAAAATGGAGTGGGGGGCTTGCTGCAAAAAAAAAAAAAAAAAAAGCCATGCCTGCTCAGTCACATGGCCATGCCCACCTAACTACGCCCACAGAACTGGTTGTTAAAAAATTTGAATCCCACCCGTTACCAACCAAGCTTCAAACCCACAAGGAAGCAGTTCAGAACAATTTGGAAGTAGCAACTTGGAATTTCTTGAGTGACATAACCTTCTCTCAAATGTTTGCATTACTCATGGTGAAGCAATTGATATCTCTCATTTCTGCCCAAGGAACAGCCAATTTTAAACAAGTGCAGGCATTTTTCTTGGTAAAATCATAATGATCAGATCACCCTACAGAATGCTGGGCGGTGGGGGGGGAGAAAGAAAGAAAGAAAGAAAGAAGGAAGGAAGGAAAAAAGGAAGGGAGGGAGGAAAGAAAGAAAGAAAGAAAGAAAGAAAGAAAGAAAGAAAGAAAGAA